TCTTCCAGGGTAGGAACCAGCTGGAAGTCTTGAAAGGTGAAACAATGATGCAGAGGGTCATAAAACTGGGTCAGAACACTTATCAGTTGTTGGTCCCATTTTGCAGTGATCAAGCCAAGGAGGGAACCATGTCTGTTGATGAAGGGGGTAGTGTTTGGAATTCTTTCAACCAGATCTTTGAGTAAAACTGGTGGTTGAACAAAGTTGAGCCGGACAGTATTTCTACGCACGGGCATCATGATGTCCTACAAAACAGAGCAAAGATGAAACCTTTTTGTCTTTGAAATGGGTTAGCTTTTTATGCATGCAATGGTATGATGGCATGATGCTATGATGAAGCACATCACAAGTATTCACATAGGCAAATAAAGCACACAAGTCACACAAGACACCCTTAGGTTTCAGGCCAGCATGAGTTTCAGGTATTACCCTCTTTTGGTTTTGTTGGTTAAAACCTGTCCTATCAAAAGTAACCGGGTTCTAGAGGATCTCAAATCATTGGCTACCCTCAATCGGTCATAACTCCAGCATCGCAATCTTTTCTCGCGGCCAGAACCATCTCGAGAGTTTAGCCTCAATGAGTGTAGCATACTGCTACTGTCCTAATAGCCAAGTTGGTCAATTTAGGGTTCTAAGGTTGGTTGGTGTTTAATGACCCCTTAGAAGACCTATATTCTCCCCGTTACAACACAAGGGATATAGGTACAGACTAAGATGCCACACCAACGTAGCCACTGCTTCACCCATGTCGGTCTACGCCGGACAGGTCCCTCACAGATTATGCTACCTAAAAAGGGTATTTCCCAGATCCGGGTTAGGATCTATGAAACTTCGATGCAAAGCCCACAAATATAAAGCAAACAAAGCAAACAATTGAAAACAAAGGTGATCTAAAAACCCTAAGGTTACTCCACTTTTAAGTAAATCCCCAGCAGAGTCGCCAGTTCTGTGATACGGTGGGAGAACTGACTTGAGGTTTGCGTTTGTATTCGCAAATGTTGCGGTTAGCAAGAGTCGCCACCGACTTTTTATTTTATCCTAAGGAAAGGTTAAAAAGCACAGCAAAAACCTTTTGAGATGTTTTCTTGGGTTCGGGGAGTAGATTATAGAAAGGGAAGGTATTAGCACCCTTTCTATCCATGGTTATCCATGGGCTCTTAGTTTCTTGCTTAGATCACTTGCCTTTTGTTTTCAATTGTTTTAAATGGTGCTTTGAGTGTGTGGATTTTGAAAATGTTTTGAAAAGAGGCCAATATGATGGCAACCTTTGTAATGATCCATGTGGGGATGTATACAAAGATGTATGTCTTTTAAAAAGGTTTTCATTTGTTTTTGAAAGTTGTTTTGAAAGTGTAGTGATGTGTGATTTTGAAATTAGGCAAGTGTTTTGTTTTGCAAGTTGATTCAAGTAACTAAGAGGTCATCTACTCCTAAATTTCTCAAAAAGATTATTGCTATACTTTAACCCTTTTAACAAGTTTACATCACCATTGTATTTGGTGGGCAACCTTGTGTTAGGATGTGAAAGGGACAGGCGCGGGTCATCGTTTAGACCATAATTGTAACGACGTTAAATGTCTTTGGGCAATTTCTCTAAGGGACTTGATCATTTGTTTTGTTTGTTTTGAAAAGTTTTATCGAGGGACTATGATCATTCAAACTGTTTGCTTTGCCCAAAGATGTTCAACATACAATATGGCCCATTTATTTGAAGGCAACAAGTGGAATACCCTAGGGGGTGCAAGTGTGATTTGTGTGTCCATTTTCATGCTTGTTTGTCTTGTATTAGGTCAAACTATTTTTTATCGTTTTTTCGCATACAAACCCTAATTCTAGCATGTTATTATTTAGAAAGCAATAAAGTGCGAAATTAAAATTACTAAGCTATTACACAACCAAATATGGGAAGGGGGGTACAAATGTTCAAATGGGGATATTGACAAGAATTTGAATCTAAATTATTACAACAATTGGATATTTTGCAATGCATAATTAAATGTAAATTAAATAAATATGTGAAATGTAAAAAGAAAGTTTTTATGTGTATGAGAAAATATTATTTATGTAAAAGGAAAAAGAAAATAAAAATGTATTTATTATTTATTTTTTAGTATTTTGAACTTAGGGTGAAAACCCTAATTTTTTTAAATAAAAGGTATTATCTAATTTTAATACAACTATTTATTTATTATCTATAAAAATAACCTAAAATGAAGTATATTGTGCAAAAAATATTTTTATATCAAATGTTAATAATAAAAAAAATCAAGTATTTTTATATCTTTTTCTTAAATACATTAATAATCAAATATATATATATATATAACCCTAAATATGTATTTTTCTAAAATAAATATTTAAATATTTTAATAAAATAAAAAGTATTATTATTTTTTTTTTGTGTAAAATATTTTCATAAAGTAAATAAAAAAAATAAAAATGTATCTACACTATTTTCTATTTATTTCAATAATAGTATATATATATATTTGTATATAACAAAAGAAATAAACAAATAAATATGCCATAAATACAAAAAGTGGTGGAAAAAATATTTTAAAAATTTTAATGGTATGAGAAAAAATAAACAAAGTCAACCCAAAAAGAAAAAGTCAAAAATGTCAAAAAATGAGCAAATGGGCTCAGGGGGGTGTAAACCAAAAAATGGGGTGTGAAAAGGAAATAAATCCAGGCCCAGCCCAGATCACTTCTTCTTCAACCTCTGTACAGCTTTCTTCACACAAAACACGCGTTTTCTATCTCTGGATTCCTGGACTTTCAAGCAAAACTCATAACATGAAAAGTGTAGAGCATTAAGAGACGGTTTCAACCATATAAAGAACATGACCTATCTCTCTAAGATGAGGGAGAATTTCTCTCCCCCTCTTTTCTGACCTAACTTTTCATCAATGTTCAGACATGAAATTCTCTAAGCACACGAAACATAAATGAAATCTAATCATATGAGCATGTTCAGGGCTATGATTGTGACATGTTTTCTTCAAAAACCTAAAGCTAACAATGCCTAACAAGAGAGATAGAACTCCATGAATATACCTGTTCAGTTGGAATCGAGCTGGGCAATGGAGGATGTTTCAGAGTGAAATGAGGACTTGTACAGCTTCCTTGAAGTGTAAGGAAGCTTTTCCAGTTCCTACTTTGCCTTGAAACTTCCTGAATCGAGCTAATGAACTCCAACTGCAAAACAGAAAATTAAAAATGGTGAAGTGGCTTGGAGGTGTTACAGGTCTGATTTTAGGATATGGATAGCTTGTATATATTGTAGGGAAGGTAGAGGAAAAGGTTTGAATCAAAATGCTTGAAGGGATTGGGAGTTTGAACTCAAACTGCAGGGGCACCCCTGTTTGTGCAGTTTGAGGATGATTCTGAGATGGAGGGTGTTTTGGAGGTCAAGAGCTCGTGTCTTTGCTTGGATATGTTATGTGTAATGTGTTTGACAACTTTGTTCTTGTGTTTGTATGCTGGTATGAGAGATGGCATAAGTTATGGATGTTACTTCTATGTGAAGCAAGCAAATGTCAACTTGGTTTCTAGGCCAGTACAATGCCTCAATCTATGCTGCACATTTGAGTCTTGATCAGTGGGATATGCCCATGCCTTTTTGCTTCAAAGATCTGCATTGTACCTCATGGATTTGCAAAGTTGCCATAAAGTATCACTTTACAAGAATGGATAATATGCTTTTTCTAGTTTAGGCTTGATTTTGTGTGTATTGTCCAAATGAGCAAGATAATGCTAGAGCACAAAGGATATGCATTGAATTATTGAGTGAAAATGGGATTAGAGGCCTGCAATGTAGCTTAAGCATGCTGAATTCAAATTTGCCAAGTTTATGAACATGCTTTGATGAAGAACAAAAGTGAATTTTTGCCAACTTGTGAAATTCGAATCTCTCAAGTTATGAGGTTGTTTGATGAGTTCTTGGACATTTTGGAAAGCTTGGAATGTGTACTACAATCCATCTTTGAAATGCAATTTGAAATTCCAAGTGGAAGGGTATGAAAAGTGGCCTTGAAGTAGGGTAGAAAACCTTGTCAAAATAGGTCAAATTTCACCAAGTTAAAAGATGGTTTAGTGCCCTTATTCAAAAAATCATAACTTGAGATACAAGCTTCAAATGAGAAAACTTTGTGAATCAAAGTTGTAGATTTTGCAACAAGCTACAACTTTCATGTTTTGACTTTTGTTTGAATCCAAATGGATCATGGTGAAAAGATGGGGCAAAGTTGGGAAAAAATTAGGGTTTTCCATAACTTAGAAAAATTCTAAGTTATGAAAAATTCCATTTTCAAACCCTAATTTGCATTTTGTGATTTCTTGGTGAACAAGTTTCATAATTTGGCAAAAAATGAATCTTGACTCTTGATTTTGACCAAAAAGTCAAAGTTTTGACTTTTCAGTATACAGTCAAAATTGATCAATTGACTGGGAAATTCAACTGTCAATCTTGTGTACTTGGGATCTTTTGAGCTTGATGAACATGTCAAGATAATTCCATGGGGTCCTTGAGTCCATATGTGAGCTTGGTTTGCCATTGGCTAGGTCAAACAGTCAAAAATTGCCTTTGTGCAGTCAAAACCCTAAAAATGACCATTTTGCCCTTTTGGTGATCTGATCAAATTTCTTGTGGAATTGTGATCCAAACTTGGTCAAATGGTTCATATGAATTCAAAATGTTGATGTGGATCAAATTTCATGAGGTTTGACTGTCAATTAGCCACAGTTGACTTTTTCCCCAATACAGCTGATTTCTAGGTCAACTGTCCAATTGACTGGGTAAAACTTGGAATCAAGACCTGAAACTTGGTATGGGTAAACTTGGGAGTCCAATATGAAGCATGAAAGTCATTTTAGGCATTTTAGGTCAAAACATCTTTAGGCAAACACAAACCCTAATTTGAGTCCACAGTGCAAGGAGAAGTCTTGAGCAGAGGAAACCCTAATTGTATCTTGATCCTTAAAGGTCTTGTGATGAGAAAATGTTGAGGAAATGGGAGGGCAAATTTTGGGGTACAACAGATTCCCACGAGGATGCTGAGCGGTGTATCAAGCATCTCAACCAATCAGTTTTAGAGGGCCGCTATGTCACCGTAGAACGGGTAATGTGTTTACTTTTCACTTGTGACAGTGGTTGGTAAAACAAATGTACTTTTCTTTTCTTTCATCGATGCAAATATAGCGAAACTGCTAAATCAATGGCAAGCTTAGACAGCTAATCAAATGCTACTGATTAACTTAAACATATCAACTATATTGCCCATTCAACCTTTCAACCTCAGCATTCACTTTCAACTCTCAACTAAACAACGGACATTTTCAACAACTTTATAATCAGCCTTTTTTATGGTATCTCACACCTGGCACTAATCACGCGCTCGTGGATATGATTTTTCCTCCCTTTTTTAGAAGCTGGCCTCTTTTACCTCTAATCCTTGATGAAAATTCCTTTAGAGGATTCTATTAATATAATTTAAAAATGTTACTTCATAGAACAGACAAAAAAGATGTCACAAGAGTTTACTTGCTTTCATTAGTATTCTGTTGATATGTGTTTTATATCATTGAAGCACTACTGATTGAGCTCCTGTATTGTTTCAGTCAAGAAGAAAGCATGCAAGAACTCCAACACCAGGGCACTATCTTGGGCTGAAGAATACTAGAGACTATGGTAAGTTTGATTGAGAGACATCTATCTTGAATGGTGAATATGTTCTTTTTGCATTTTTCGTACTTCATTTCCTGAAGTCTACCTTTTTTTTTGTGAAGGCTCTCGTGGTGACAATCGTGATGACTATCGTGGCGGAAATCGCGGTGACTATCGTGGCGACAGTCGTGGTGACTATCGTGGCGACAGTCGTGGTGAGTTTCGTGGCAGCAGTCGTGGTGACTTTCGTGGCGGTGGTCGTGGTGAATTTCGTGGCGACAATCGTGGTGACCGGGGAAGGAATTACAGTGGTTCTGGTCGTGGTGATTATCCACATCGTAGATCTCCAAGGCGTTCACCATACCACGGAGGCCCAGATCATTCACCACAGCGCTCACCCTATGTTGGGAGGTCTAGGAGGCAGAGATCAAGGTCTATTCCCCATTCTCCTTATAGCCCAGACAAGAGGTATGCTGGTGGATCTAGGTGAGATGTGGTTAGCTTGCGTTGTTTCTATCTGTGAACAGGGTAAGGAAAACTTGTTTATTATTGAGTTGATACTGCAACTTTAAGTTTGTGCGTACTCTAAATGTGTATTGTTAGAATCTGTTGTTCTAGTGTGACTATCAGTTTGTGCGTTATTATCCATGTCTACATGTCAATGATGTCAAACCCCAAATGCTGTGAATGTATGCTCTCACAGTTCCTTATGGTTTGATGGGATCACTTCCTTTATTGATTCGTTTGGGCCCAGTGTGGTTAAATCGTTTAGACCTGTCCATTTTGCCTGCTTTCGCTCCAACTCATTTTATGTCCTAGTAATGGTAGAGGTTGAAGCTTGTATTCTTCACCAGCTTGTTCAGGCTAAACATTTTCGGTACTTTACATTTTAGGGGTAAATTTCTCTTGGAAACATTTTTAGTATTGTTAGGAAAATGCTATTCCACCACATTTTTATCTTAGCCCCTTTATTCAACGGAGCTGTATTATATTTCATTTAGTGAATTTTAGAGCATTGACAGTTTTGAAAGACCTTACGAGGGGCCAATGAGTAAAAGGTTATTACTTGTTAGGTTAACCTTAATCAGATATGATTGAGGATGTGTGGTAAACTATTTTACACCCAGTTTAAATAATTGAATTTTATATGATTTTTATTTAAATTGCAAGGTTTAACCTATGTGGTTGTGCTAGCACATTAACAACTAATATTGTTTACGAAGTTCTCTACTGAATGTAATGTTTTTGTTTTCTTTCTACAATGTAGCGTCCCCACTATTTTTAACCTAAATAAAGAAGAAAAAAAGCTGCAAGTAGGAAAGTTATACCCCTAATTGCAACTTCTCACTTATGTTAAAAAAGATGAAAACTAAAAAGATGAAAACTCTCCTGTTCTTTATTACTATTTTTAGTTAAAGTTCTTCATCTCTTTAAGTGTTCACAACATTATTATCATCTTCATTTGTTTTTTTACTATATTTCCCCCATATCCCGAACTCTAAAACTAATAAGTGAAAATGGGCGCTACAATGGACTCAATACACTCTAGTGGTTTGAATTTATGAACAAAAATTATCTATTATTTTGAGTGTGAGGTGTGATGTGCACCAGACTGAAAGCGGTTCTTAGAATGTAAAAAGTTGCGTCACTAGGGACTTTTTACATCGGGTATTACTACCAACCGATGTAAAAAACTGGATCAATTTTTAAAAAAAATGTGTATAATAACTATTTCTTACATCATTTTTATATTATAACCGATGTAAAAAAAAGACTTTTTACATCGGGTATTACTTCCAACCGATGTAAAAAATTACATCATTTTTTTTTAAATATTGTAATAACTATTTCTTACATCATTTTTATATTATAACCGATGTAAAAAATAGACTTTTTACATCGGTCCCAGAACCGATGTAAAAAGTACCTGATTTACTATATCGCCAGACTTTACATCGGACCCAGAACCGATGTAAAAAGTCAGTTTCACCCGATGTAAAAAGTCATTTCTGCACTAGTGCAAACATCACTCAAACTAAACGATTTAACTTACAATACATCAATAAAAATTCAAATCCTAATAAAGGTGTACTTAAATGTTCAATTTTACTTAAATAAGACACAAAGAGGGAACGGTGGCAGATTGGCAGTAGATCTTGGTTGCATCTATTGTAGTGATTGCAATCGGTGATGTTTTAATAAAAATAATAGTTATTGACAATACAAAATCTATAGCTTTCAAAAATATTGTTTCTTTCTTATTTGCAAACAAACATACAACCCCAAGATTCATCACCTTATTTGCATTACGAAAAAATCACAAGCACATTAATGCAAATGATAAAACAAAGAATCCACACAGCATTAGAAACTTGAAAAAACAAATTATACAATGTCAAATTTATTTATGTTCCATAAATCACTAAATATAAGACAAATCACTAAACCTGTGTAAAAAAATTATATTATATATGATAAATTTCCGTACCTCAACTTTAGCAAGCTTTCCTCCATTAATCAATTTTAGAAGTGCAAACCCCACGGTAATTTCGAACAAGAGAAGCATTTTATGATGTTAAACAAACCTGAAAAATAGCAGAAAAAAACACCATATTAAGAACGTATCTCAGATGAAATTGCAGCATCCTCCATTGAAGTTTATATATTTCAATTAGATTAGAAAAGTATTTTTCTCTTATTTTTAATCAAATTTTTTTTATTTAGAATTTTTTTAAAATATTTTTTCATTATTTCTACCTTTTAAGAAAGGAAAAAAAAATTTGTTCAATTTTATAAAGTTGCACTTTTTATATATATTTTTTATTTTAGGGAAAAATCAATACAATTGATTTAAATATATTCAGAATTGAAATAAAAATTAATTTAATGTTAATTTTTGATTATGTTATTCGATTATTTGATTACTACTTTTTTTTATTTTAACCTAATTTTTGTTATAAATAGTTGACCGTTTTTCTCAATAAAGGAGGCCACTTTTTTTTCATAACACATAAAACTTTATTTTGAGTCCATTCACAAATTTCAACAATTCTCACACTCGCATATAACATTAACAAATATTTAAACATACTCACAAAAAATATTAAAATGGGTGTAACATGGTAATATAAAAATTAAACTCTATTGAGGAGTAAGAACAAAAACATTAGAAGAAAAAAATAGAGTGAACAAAAGAGCAAAAACATATTGTACATAATTTTTTTATCTTTAACCAAAGTACAATCACAAAAATCCATTCTCACTTTTTTTTATTCATGTTTTTACAATAACAATAACTTCTAACATATCCAAGACATCATCAAACTTCAACTTATAAGCCTATTTTCATAATCTTATAGCCTCATAAACTTCAAATCTAACCTGACAAAACCAGTTACAAACATCAATCAAACTAGAAGATTTCAATTTCCATATCCATAACTCACAATACATCAATAAAAATTCAAATTCAAAGAAAGGTGTACCTGTCAAACCATTGTTATAAATATTCAATTTTACTAAAATAAAACACAAAGAGAGAACGGTTACAGACTCGCAGTCGATCTTGGTTGGATGGTTGCAACAATATTGTTTCCTTCTTATTTGTAAACAAAAATTTTTTGAAGCTTTAGATCTCTATGATTCACATTTTGTTTATGGAACATCTGAAACAATCAATTCCAAGTTCATCACCATATTTGAATTACCAAAAAATCACTAAATTACACCCAACAAATGTGTTCTTGTTCTATGAATCACTAAATATAAGACAAATCAACAATATTGAAAATATTAGGATTGGTTTAGGTTCCTCACTAACATCACTAAATCTGTGTAAAAATTTTGTATTCTATATCATAAATTGTCGTACCTCAACTTTTGCAAGCTTTCCTTCATCCATCACTTTGAGAAATGCAAACCCAGTGGAAATGTCGAACAGAGGTTAAACAAACCTGAAAAACAGCCCAAGAAAAAACACCATATTAATAACTGATCTGACCTGATCAGAAATGGACCGTCACGGCTGGCTCCGAGCAGAAAGCTTTTTTGAACGAGGTGGGGGGGGGGGGGGGGGGTACCTACAAGGCACTCCGATGCTGAAGTAAGTAGGAGTACGAGCAGATAATAGTAAGTTGAAGTTAGAATGATCAATACCTGACCCTCTGGAAACAGAGGGTATTTATAGCCCCCAGCGCTGGGCCAAGGTTCCTTCATTGGGCCGGGCGGATTTGGCCCAATGGAGGAACTGCCAGGTTCTACGTGGGTAGTGGGGACCCGCACGTGGTCCCCTTCCTGGATGTTCTGCGTGAAGTGCGGGCGGACGAAGACGCGGTCTTTCCGGGATATCGTTGGGGGAACGGTGGACTGAGTCTGCCCTAGTTGGGATGCTCGAGGGGAGGTCGAGCCAGACAGCAAGGTGTCGAGCTGGACGCCAGGTCGTGGAGCTGGACGGCAGGGTATCGAGCTGGACAGCAGGAGGTGGAACTGGACATCACCACGTGGAGCTGGACAGCAGGATGTCGAGCTGGACATCATGATGTCGGGCACGGATGTGGCCCCTTTGCTCGGCGTGGTCCTCAGTAAGTCCCTTTGGACTGGGCCTTAGGAATGCTTTTGGGCCTGTCGGGCCCAGTCCAGAACAGGAGCCCCCCAAGTCGTGGTTCCTTTGCGAGGAGCCATGACTTGAATCCAAGTTATTCCCTCGTTGAGGTCTCGTGCCCCGGGATAGAGGTGTGGGCCCTCGAGGGGCCTCCTCGTGTCGTGCTCGGAGACTTCCTCGGTGGTGGATGCGCGGAGGATCCTTACCGGGCGCGTCGGTCGAGCACACGAGGTATCTTTCGGGAACTGTGCCGCCACCCTATGGGGGTAGGGTCATCATTGCGTTGGGAGCAGCGCGTCGAGGAGATGGAGTCCGTGGTTGCCCGAGGTGACGTTTGGTATTCCACGTCATCACTATAAATAGGAACCTTGGGCCCCATAATACGTTTTCTGCTCTTTGTGCTCTCTCTGCTGCTGCTCTTCCAGACTTTCTCCAGTCGCGACTTTCCGTTACAGATTCTTCCATTTCGTAGCCAAATCCCACTCTTTGATCCAAGTAAGTGATCTATCTTCTTCATTTTTCTGTTTAGAATGCACGATTTCTGGTGTTTGTAGATGTTTTAGGACCGTGCACGTGGGATTAGCCCCGTAAAACCATGCTTAGCCCGACACATTCATGTCTAGGACCGGCAAACGCATGTTTGTGGTCGGCACATTCATAGTTTTAGGTGATAAACTTCAGAGCTGCCCGGGGTCTTCATGATCTAGGGCGCCTGATTCATGATCGCGCCCGGTATGTTCATGGTCTTGGCCGTGGGCTTCATGGTGCGGCTCGCCATGTTCATACCTCGGGCCGACATGCTTGGAGAGTGGCCGCGCAGTTGGTTTGAGGAAGAGTACCGGGTTCAGGACGTCGGGGAGGCAACCATTCGTGGAAACGGACTTATGTAG